GAGACAACAGATGTCTCCAGTTCCAACTGTGTATTCCATAGTAGTAACCTCTGCTTCTTCTAAAATAGTGGGCTCTCAAATGTAAGGAGTCAATGGTTGAGCATTGACTTGTGAACCAGGAGGTCACAGAATGATTCCTGGTCAGGGCACATGCCCAGGTTGCAGGCTCAATTCCCAGTGTGGGATGTGCAGGAGGCAGCCAATCAATGATTCTCTCTTATCAGATGTTTCTATCTCTCTCTCCCTCTCCCTTCCTCTCTGAAAGCAAAGCTTGCTCCTCTAAAAAAAATGTAAGGGGAGCTTCAGAAATGTCAGTGTCTCATACCTCCCAGCAACTGTGTTGGATTGGTTATTACTGGACACCAGGGTGGCAGCAGAGCTGAGTTCAAAGGGACACAAGCCAAGGAAAATAAGTCATAAAGAGTGACAATGTGCACCTACTGGGAGAGATAGTAGGGAAGGCAGGAGGTGGGAATATTATCTGGCCATTGGGTGAGGGGAAGACTTCCTGGGGTAGCTTTTGAGAAGAATTTCTCCAGGAATAGGAAGAGTCCAGGGTAGGAAGAGTCCAAATAAAATTAATAGGCTGTACGTATTAGACATTTACTCTGCACTAGATATTATCCTCAGTGTATGGGGCACTAGGATGAGACAGACCCATAAGTGGATCTACTTTTATTGCACTGTGAGAACTAAAATTGATGGATTACACATGGAACCTGTAATGAGAGGACCGCTGTCCCTAGGGCTGGTATCTGGAAGAAATTAGTGGCTATCCTGTAAGTAAGACACAAGAAACCAGAAGTCCTGCCTGTTGTACAAAATTTTACTAAGCTTATTTAGTTGAAGAGATTTCAGGTCAATAATTTAGCTTCTGTAAACTCCAGGACCTCCTGCCATTTAGAAAATGGATTTTGTGTGTCAAATGGCTATGTGTAATGCCACAGACCAACCATGAGCAGTATCAAGGGAAGTGAAGAAGGAGAGATTGCAGAATCCAGCTGGTGAGCTATTGTAAACAGGAGAAACTGTTAGGTCTCTCCTGTTTACTGCTCTAGCTCCTCAGTGCCCTGCAACAAATACCTGTTAGCCACTGAGTAAAAGAATCAATAAAATGCTGGTAGGAGATAATTACCAGCACTGGGATTTTTTTTATATATTGGTACTCAGGATTCATTTCATTACAATAATCTATTCAGCCATTAATTATCTGAGCCATCCTGATCCCCTGACCTAATTCAAAACCCTATGTTTTGAAAAGGAAGAGGGGTCAGTTTAAATAATGGGGAGTTTTCATAGTAGGCAAGCTTGGATGGAGTGACAAAGTTGATACTAGATATTTCTCTGTACCACAAGTTTTGTTAGACAGACCTGGTGATGTAATTTAACATTGGAGACTTCATCTTTTTAATATGATTACATTAAAGTAGAACAAGTTGTGTGAGCAGGGCAAGAGGAGCAGTGGCTAGTTGTTATAATGTATTATAAACACTTACAATGCTACCTCCCTCTCCCCATTTATTTTTAAAAATTTTTATTGAATTTATTGGGTTGACATTGGTTAATAAAATTATATAGGTTTCAGGTATACAATTCTCTGTATATTGTATTGTGTGTTTAACAACCAAATCAAGTCTCCTTCCATCACTATTTTTACTCCCTACACTCTCTTCTACCTCCTCTCACTCCTCTTTCCCTCTGATAGTCACCATACTGTTGTCTATGTCTACGAGGTTTTTTTCTTTGCTTAATCTCTTCACCCTTTTCACCCAGCCCTGCAACCCTTCTCCCCTCTGACAGCAGTCAGTCTGTTCTCTATCTATGAGTCTGTTTCTATTTTTTTTTAGTTTATTTTGTTCATTAGATTTCACATATGAGTGAAATCATATAGTATTTGTCTTTCTCTGACTGGCTTATTTCACTTAGCGTAATGATCTCTAGGTCCATCCAAGCTGTCGCAAAGGGCAAGGTTTCTTCTTTTTTAAATACAGCTTATTAAATATTGGTAAAAAGATGATTCCAAAGGAAACTGATATTTGAATATACTTCCTGTTTTGTAACTAACATCATTGGCAAAATTTGGAGAAATGTTAAGAGGGCAGAGTGTACCTGTGAGTTTCCAGGTACTCATTCAGTAAACATTTACTGTATGTCTGACTAAGCTCATTATACTAGATTTCCATTATGAGGTATTTTTTTTAAATCTCTAGGTTCTGTCCATAATCTTCTATGGTTCACTCATCACTAGCAAAAGCTCAAATTTTCATAAAAGCCTTTTCTTGAAAATTAGCAGTATTTTCTTCTCTTCTAAGTTACACTTTGGGGACAGTCAAAAAGGACCAATGTCAGACTAATTGCACCAATAATAAAAGGGCCCAGGCGGCTGGCTTTGATCTGGGGAACCATCTGTAATGCAGACCACTTTGATGTTCCACACAATGGAAGCATAAATATTTTCTATGTACTCCATGATTGGACTTTCAGAAATCTAATTAAGATGAAGGTCAATTAAGAGAAAATAAAATCTTAACTCCAAAAGTCAGAGAAGAGGTGGAAGATGATGGAATAGCTGTGTGTACATAAAAGAAGCTAACTAACCTAATTACAACTTGTATAAACACCCAGAGAAAGTGTCTTTCATGTGGAAAAAAAAGGTCCTAAAGCATTTTATGACATTGCGATCATTAATGTGTCTTTGAAACACACCCAGTGCTGGAAAAGAATAGGAATACTGACATTTCAAAACTCTGTTACTAAAAAAAAAAAAAAAAAAAATTGCAGACAGCTCAGGGATAAAAGCACTTCAGACCTCATCAAATGCAGCCCCTTGCTTCTTGGAAATGAGTGCCATCAATGTCTCTGGTGGAGCTGCAGCTACTGGATTCTAGGCATGCGGTGCAGAAGGCTGCAAGGCTGGAGGAAGGCCCCTGGGTACACTGCAGCCTGGCATGGCTGGCTCACCTTAGGCAAGTTTCCTCAGCAATCTATGCCTCCGTTTCCAAAATTTAAAGTCAAACCAATAATATTTATCTCATGAGTTTACTGTGAATATTAAATGACAAATGGAAATCCCTTCATCCAGTGCTACACATTGTAGGTAATAAGAATTGATAACTCCTCAAAAGAAGCTAACTAACCTAATTACAACTTGTATAAACACCCAGAGAAAGTGTCTTTCATGTGGGAAAAAAAAGGTCCTAAAGCATTTTATGACATTGCGATCATTAATGTGTCTTTGAAACACACCCAGTGCTGGAAAAGAATAGGAATACTGACATTTCAAAACTCTGTTACTAAAAAAAAAAAAAAAAAAAAAAAAATTGCAGACAGCTCAGGGATAAAAGCACTTCAGACCTCATCAAATGCAGCCCCTTGCTTCTCGGAAATGAGTGCCATCAATGTCTCTGGTGGAGCTGCAGCTACTGGATTCTAGGCATGCGGTGCAGAAGGCTGCAAGGCTGGAGGAAGGCCCCTGGGTACAGGGCAGCCTGGCGTGGCTGGCTCACCTTAGGCAAGCTTCCTCAGCAATCTATGCCTCCGTTTCCAAATTTTAAAGTCAAACCAATAATATTTATCTCATGAGTTTACTGTGAATATTAAATGACAAATGGAAATCCCTTCATCCAGTGCTACACATTGTAGGTAATAAGAATTGATAACTCCTCCTTCTCCTCCCCTTTTTCCTGAGAGCATGAGCTTTAGAATCAGACTTAGTCGGTGTCCCTCTCTTCTGTCTGCTGCTCATGTCACCTGGGAAAGGCCATTTTATGTCTTTGGGCTTCAGTGTCTGAAACTCTAAAGTGGAATAAATTATATCTACCATCCCCAGGAATTTATATAGACTCACTGGTACACAGGTAAAGGCATGGAGGACTTAAGATAACAAAAAGTTATCAGTCTAAAGCATACTTTCAAATAGGGGTTGTTTGTATCTGTGTCTTTGTGTCTGTGTGCCTCTGTGTGTTATTTGTGCATATGTGTATATTTCTGTGTATGTAGGGAATATGTGTATATTTCTATGTATTAAATACAGAGAAGGAAAGAACTGTCAGGACACCTCTTCGTCTCTGTCACCAGTCACAATTGTGTGATGTGAAAATGAATTTGAATGATGTGGAAAATCACTTCTCACTGAAAAGGGTAAACAAATTCTCTTTATTCATTTTTTTAGGTGACACATATCATATGGAGCCACCCCTCCCCCAATCTTTTGAACTACATCTAAGGATTCTTTCATCTGAGAGGTTCAAAATATGCCCACTTACCTATGCATCTTTGAGAAATCTTTCTTTCTAATGCCCAAAGTAATCTCATACTTTGCAACAAATAGGTAACCAAAATTAACTTATCATGTATCCTAGCCCTCAGGGATACATGGTTTCTGACCACAGTGGCTTGAATTTGTTCCCAAGGCCAATTAGTTAAATAGCAGAGGATAAAATATGATCTTGGGTTATTCCCTCTGACAAACAATGCATTAAGGTAAAAGTTCCATTTAAAGCCAATATGAATTGTTGCTTTTTTCCAAAGTGGTATGACCTTGGTCTCCACCAAGACTCGAATAGTGATTGCCAGAAATGCTAGTGCTCTCTGATCATGTTTTCTTAATTCTATAGTCTGAGTAAAAGGCAGAGTGTATTGTTAAATGTATTATGGGTTATATTTAGAGTTGGTCAAGTTGATTTATCAAATTCAAAGGCCAAGTCCTGCCCTTGGATGTGTCGAATGTATAAATGTGCATCCCTGACCAGAGGAACATCTGCTTGAAATGCAATGTTCTTTTGCTAATGGGATGTTTAGAGCTCATGTCAGGTGGAGGGCCCTGGGCACACAGAGCCTGCTGCCATACTCACAGTTCACAGTGACCTTGACTTGTTTGACATCCGCCGAGGAGACCTCATTGGCTGCTTTGCACTCATATTTGCCTGACTGCTCCCTGGTGATGCCGAGGATCTCCAGATATTCTTCTTCTCCTTCAAATTCTCTTCCTGAAAAACAGAAGTTTGTATGATTGGTTTTTAAAGTTTAACATATGCAGCAGATTGCCTTTTTTTTTTAGAAGCAAATAATCTACATGGCTTTTCAATCATCTGACACTGTGCTTTGTCTGAGGTCAACTCCACAGAAGCAGACTCCAAGACAAAAAGTCATGTGGGAGTTATTAAAGAGGAAGTCTTCTCAGGAAAACTGGTGGGGAAGTGGGAAGATGGGACCTGAAAAGAAAGAAGCCAAGCTACAGTGTAATGCCAAGTTCACAGAAGGCCAGCTGGCTCCATCCCTTGGGGAGCTCTGGGGATAGCACATGTCCTACTTCCAAGTCATCCTGACCAAGAAGCTAGAAGCTGGATTATATATTCACATCCCTCAGTCATTGGTTAAGGGCTTAGAACAAAGTGGGAGTTGGGGGGAGGTATACACAAGTTGTAAAGGGCTGACATCATCGATCACACCACACTGCAATGAGCTCTTTCAACCAAGGTTGTGTTAGAAGGAAACATGGCTTTTTTTTTGAGAAACTGTCACTCTTCTCCCCAGTGTATGTAGAATTCTGTTCACAAAGGTCACGTTCAGAACCCTATTTTGCAGTTATGGCTTCCTTGTTCAGTGTGAAACTCCATCAGTCACTAAGACTTCCAGGCCATGGGCCAGATCCATGAGAATGTGCTGCTGATGGTGCATTCTCAGTAACACTGGCTTAAATAGTTGGGATTGACAGGCTTGTTTAATTCCCTTCATGAAGGGAGTGAGGAGATAAATAATGAAGAGGTGGAGGGGGAAGAAAAGGAAAAGGGAACAGAGAAGGTAAAGTAGAAAAGAGGTTGAGCAGGGAGAGCTTGGCCAGAAGGACTATGGACTTCAAATCTAACTAAATTAAGCCCACTCACCCCCAAGTTGCAAAACCCCACTGCTGCTTGGGTTACAATAGAGCAGCTGGGAGAGTGCTAAAGAACATAGTTCTGCCATTCCGGTCATCCTAAACTAAATGGTACCAATTAATAGCTCTGCTCAAATGCCACAAGCTGTTTCCCTTTTCTGGAAATTACCTGATGATCATATCAACATACCAGACAGCACAGAGACAAATCCATTGTCCAAATATGTCAACTAAGCCTGTTAACTAGGCTCCCCATAGAACACACAGCCTCTTTGATAACAGTCTATAACACAACTGCCGGGAATACTCCAAACTTAAGTCTTCTGTCAATGTCTCTATTACTAGCTTTGAGGGAACTTTGTAATCCCATTAATAAAAAAAGCAATGGTTATATAAAATTATTTGGTTCTGAAGTCCTAAATATTATCTAGCACACACTTCTAGTAAAAAGTGTTTTAGAATACGTTTATAAGTATATAGCTGCATATCCTATATAATAAAGTGCTATTATGGTAATTAGACTGGATGGCAGAACGACCTTCTGGAAGGACCTTCCAGAATGACCAGTGGGCAGGGGTTGGGCCGCGGGGCTGTGAGGCAGCTGGGGTGCAAGGGCCGAGTCCCTTGCACGGATTTCGTGCATTGGGCCTCTAGTTATTTATAAAAGGCTTTTTTCCCCCTTCCCTTATGTTTGTTTCCCCTTTTCTTGTCTCCATATTCAAGCAAGTAGTCAGACCTGACTACATAGGTCACAGAAGTGGAATATGGTAAAAATGGAAACAGAAACCTCTGAAAGGGTAATAGTCCACTATATTGGATTAGATGGACAGGATTTTTGTATCTATGGACTGAGAGTCATGTCAACTAGCTGAGACTAAGACTCTTCTAGCTAAACATAAATGCCCAGTTGGTGTGGCTCAGTGGCTGAGTGTGACTAAGAGGGCAAGGTTCCGGGTCAGGTCACATGCTTGGGTTGCAGGATCAATCCCCAGTAGAGGGTGTGTAGGAGGCAGCCAATCAATGATTCTCTCTCATCATTGATGTTTCTCTATCTCCCTTTCTCTTCCTCTCTGAAATCAATATATTGTAAAAAATAAAAATAAAAGTAAACATAAATACTCTGAAGACCCATGGCAGCTCTGACTGTTGAGGCCCAAAAATTGTAAGCTCATTAAAAACTGTAGTGCAGAGAGAGAATTGACAGTAAGACATGATTATTGATTTTGAGGATAATGATGTAGTAAATAAAAAATAGTTAAATACGTTTCAGAATGTTTTAGGATTTCTTTCCTACACCCATCAACCTTATTCCGAAGTGGGTGCAGATGTGAGTAAAAGAAAAAGAGAACAAGTATGGTCATCTTAGAAATGGCTAACAACACTGAATTCTTCCCAACTCCTATAAAATACCTAGAAATGGTAAGTAATAGGGCCCAAACGTGCATTTTGAATGTCTGATATAAACCAGTTCCAGGAGAGAAAAATATAATTTTAGCAGCAGTACCACCTAAGGCCCTACCAGTTTGGGAAGATAGCACCATAAGAGTAAACATTAAGGTGAACTAGAGAAAATAAAACAATATTTATTTGGTTTTGGACCTGGGATTCCTCTATGTCAATGTGTTAATAATTTCATTTCTTCCTGATAAGCAGATAATAAAACAGATCTTTACAGGATGGCTTTTCAAACCCACATCTCTAAGAAGAATTTTCTCCATTCCTATCTGAGGATAAAGGGGGAGTTTTCCCTTAAATGCCCCACCCATAAAGCAGGAAGATCGTTTTTGCTTCTCCCGTGATAACTCATCCACTCTCTGGCTGCCTCCATCACAAGCACACAACATACATAGCTGTTTCAGTAGAGTGAGGAGTCTCAAAGTGCAACTCAAATGCAGGAAAGAGAAACTAGCCTGATGAAAATGTAAACTATTAAATAACATCTTTGAGCCTTCCTTCTTGTCATTCTGCCTTTATCCCTTGCATCCTCTAGTTGAAACTCTTGTACTGTATTTTTTTTGTGTATAACATGCTATTTTTCCCCTAAAATTGTTAGATTGAAAATTGACTGGCACCTTATACACAGAAGTCAGCCGAGGGGGGAGCTGTGCCTTTGCACAGCTGCCCATACCTTGTCAAACAGGCTTCCTCCAATCACAAGCCTTATTGTTACTGATGTCAGCTGATGCCATAATTGGAGGTGGAAGTGGAAGAGGCGAGTGTACAGATGCAACAGGGACTGCAGTGTTCTGAGCCCATAAAGATGTCAAAAATTAAAGAGATAAATACCGATAAGTGATTGTCTTACTCAGCAACATTCAAACTGAATGTAATCAGCTATGCAAAAGAGCATGGGAACAGAGCTGCAGAGAGACAATTTGGACCTCCTCCCACTGAGTGTATGACCAGACAGTGGAGAAAACAGGAAGAACAACTCCTTAAGATGCCCAAAAGAAGAAGGACTTAAGAGGAAAACTCAAAATGTTTAAAATATTGATTTCTTAATTTTGTGTTGGAAAAGTGGGGGCATCTTATACACAGAAAAATACGGTACTTGCTAGCACCTCATGCTAGATGTTTTCACTTGCATCCACAGGGGACTTTGCCCACAACATATTGTCTCTCCTATTTCACTTGAGAATTTCTCATTAATCCACTGTGATTTGAGAGGAAATGGGAGCTTTGCTGTTGCTGAAAAGCCAGAGAACCACATTGTAAATTGCTCAGGAACCGTGCTTTACTTGTGAAGCCCCATGAACCAGCCCAAGGTTTGGCAGGATTAGTTACTCCATACATGTCGAAACACAAACAAAAACTAGAGTCAGGTTCAAGACATCTTATAGCTTAAGAGAACAGAGCTAAGTATTAAAAAGTGGCTAAGTAGTTCTGTAAGAGAAGCTGGTGTATAATTCCACTCCCCTTTTTTCCCCCTTCCATTGCTATTTTTTTAAACTTATCATTATTGTTGAAAGTATTACAGATGTCCCACTTCCCCCCCTCCCCTAACTCCTCCCACCCTTCTTCACCACACTATTGTCTGTGTCCATGAGTTATGCATATATGCATATAAATTCTTTGGTTAATCTCTTCCCTATCCCCTCCCTCCCCCCTTCACTCCCTTTTAATGATCCTAATAAGAATACTCTTTTACTGGGGAAGGACAGATGTGCTTGGTACTCTGCTCTACAAGGCTGGGCGGGGCACCTCTGGTCATGTCCTGAGGATGTATCTGCTGTGTGCAGTTATTATTTCAGAAAAAGGTGCAGAGACAACAACAGAGCCCCTGGTGGAAACAGAACAATGCCATTTCTTTCATCTGAGCAACTGCAATTGCTTGTTTCAAGGCATAGAATGTGTTGTGTTAGTCTTGAGTCACAAAATTCTAAAATGCACTCAGATTCTCTTGTTCCTCACCCTTTGCTCCAAAAGTGTCTGCCTGTATGGGAAACACCTTTTTTGCATTTTTTCAGTTCACTCTAACCAGCTGCTCTTAACCCAAGTGTCCTGTCACCATTTCCTTTCACTCGCTCAGCCTTAAGAAGGCTCTCAGGCCTTAACCTGTGGTTCAGTTCTCTGTGGAATGAAGCCCTGTGGCTACAACTTGGGCTCTTCTCTTGTTCATATCATTTTCTGCCCTTGTATAAATGTTTACTTGAAATGAAAATTTCAATATTCTGCTGTTTTAAACATCTCAACCTATTTCCACAAGCTTGCTCACATCGCCGAGTGTTATATTTATTCTGGGATCAGTGTTTAGTTTAAATTCCCCTTTGCTTAATGTGCTTTTGTGTCTCCTGGCAATATGCAGTTACCAGGCTCAATAACTCCTCGTCCCCCTCGGTGTATGCACCTTTCAAACTCCTGTGCATAACATGCATATCTCTTTAGTCACTGTTTACTTGTACATATTCTTTTAATATTTTGTCATAGATCTAATGGCAAGAGAAAACTGTTCTCTTCTGAGCTTTCCTAACACAGAGGAAATCAGCCAGGAATACTCCAATTAGAGTATGCCAGGTGCTGCCTTCCAAGCCAGTGCCGTCAGAGTACAGTACTGACCCTGCTTCGGTGAAACTTGTAGAGATCACAGCCAAAATGTTGGTTTGTTTAGATTTC